CACCAGATCTTCACTAACATTACAAACTACAAATGACAAGTCACTTAGAAGTCTTCATTAGGCAAATTCATACTTTCTAAGATCTTTTTTGTGAAGCTGCTAATGTTTGGATTGGCTTAGAGTTTTAATTAAGGCTGCTATTTAACATTCATACTGCACCTGTGCCTAGAAGCCAAGCAAACTGATGCCTCAAAATTCTGGGCACTGTTGCAAACTAATCTTAAATATGTGTGCAAAGTGGGCCATTTTCCTAATTCTGACTTTAATATTTTACTTCATACCCAGTTTCCTGTGCTCCTGAACCTTGGAAAAGATAGTGTTTCTTCAGCTGGCATAGATTACTGTGCAAGCTGGGAGACCAGTATCTGGGATTTCATACTCTGCTAATATCATGTAGTGCTTTATCAAACTCAGAAAGAACACAGCAGTTATTTTGTTTACATAGCCTAATTATTGCAGTTGTTCTGTTTGGTTGTTATTAGAGTGATATTTCTAAATTTACACCTGCTATTGGTTTGGCTGATGTGGAGTAGGATTTCTGCTCACACAAACTTGATTATGTTTGGATATTATACCACTACCAGTACTCTCTTTTATGAACAACTACAAAGCAGTTAATGTGAAAGACTTGTGAAGAAGAAAAAAAAAACCACAATTTTTTTTTTTCTAAATCTGTGCCTAAAATTTGTGTATGTAGCAGTTCTGAAGACTTTTATGAAGCAAGCTGGGAAGTCACAATGACATCCAGAAAGGGTTAATTTATTCTACCTGAGTTTGGAGAAAAATAAACTGATGCTACAAATTTATAGTTGATGGATGCTAAGCACTTTTTGCCTTGATGTGTGGGTTTAGGAAAGTTGAAAATCACTTCTGAAAATTCTACCTGGCAGACTAAAATTTTCCTATAAATACAACATACAGGCTGTCAGAGACTCGCTCATGGCAAAGGTGTGGACATTCAAATAAACAGCAGTCTATTCATAACAGATACTCAGTAGTTCCAGTGGATGGTATTAGTAGTTACACATTAAATTTGCATGATTTTTTCCTTCTTCCTTTTCTTTCATTTTGATTTCTGTTTAATCTAAGAAGGGAAAATGTCATGGCCTTAAATAGCTGTGAGGCATGTATCTTCCTCAGGTTTGTATTGATCTTACTTGCTTCAGTCCCACCACTGCCTTTGAAAATTCCCCAAAGATGCTACAGTTAGTTAGATCATCTACATGTAAGCACTAGGCTGGCACAGGAGCTAAAGCTACAAAGAGGCAGGGCCAAAGCAGAGCACTGTTCCTGTGTGGAATTCCATCACACTAACACTGAAACCCATCAGCCATACAATCACCTGTCTACATCATTTCACAGGTTTGGAGCCTTGACTGTTTTTTTAAAGTAGAATGTTATTTTTGCAGGAACTAACTTTTTAATTAAAATAAACCTTTTTTTTCCCCCACAGCCTGTTTCCCAGGAGTGTCCTTAGTTCAGCGCTATGTCACTATTTGATTTAATACAGCTGTTTTATCATGAGATTCTTTTCTTGTATCAACATAAATGTTTTGGTTTAGATTTTTGTGTGGTCTTGGAAGCCAATACTGTGCAAATGCACATATTTGCTACTTTTTGTGTTTTGTTTTGTTTTTTTCAGGTAATATCAAAATTATCAAACAAGTCTACACTATCTCAGGTATGTTAGTTGCATTTTAAATACGCAAAGCTTGACTTTGAAACATGCACTCAGTTGTGGCTACAGAAAAGCTGGAAAAAACCCAGCTGACTTCCGTGGTTTCAGAATGAGACTTTAAATAGCATCCTGCAGATTATTCTGCCACTGTCCATTTTATGAGTAACAGCTTATGATCTTTTCTTTCAGATGTTGGATTTGGATATCCTCCTATCGCACCTGCATTTTAAATACATGGTTACCCAAACCAAAGTTTTGAGTATGGATAATGCTCATTCTCTGTAGAGTACAGGCTGCATCAGGGCCAGGTCCTGTGCAATTTAATCATCATGACAGTCTTCAGATAACTCTTATGGCCAGCAATAAGGCTATTACATTTTATAGAGACAGGTCCTTTGCCACTGTTTTGAATTCTTACCTTTTCATACATCTCAGATGGAAAGGACCTAGTTCACTAAATTAGCCAGTGCAAGTGTGCCATACCATACAGCAAAATTAAATCCATGCTGCAAGACATTTAGACAGACACTAGCAGGGGCTTAAAACATTTGTATAAACTCCCCAATCTGCATTTCTACTCAGCCAATCTTACTTGGCCAAAAAGAGGGATATTTGCCTCTATAAGTTCATCTTAAGTTTTCTAGCTGAAGTTCACAGTGCCTTAATCAAGCTCCATATTGGCATTTTTCAGCATTCCTAAGCAGTGTATTTTGTTTCAAAGAAACAATTACAAACAATATATTGCTTTTTTACACTATACTTTAACTAACACATAAGGTACGAAACCCACGTCTATGTTGCCTTTAAATTGCCTTAGTTTCCCCATTGCACATTTAAGGTGCATTTTTTTTAAAAAACAGATGTAGATCTGCTTTTCAATGATTCAGTTCTGAAGTCGACATTGTCACACCACTGGTACAATAATGGGACTTTGTATAAACTGAAAAATCTGCTTGCTATCCCAGAAGTGGTTTCAGTTACCACAACTAAGAAGGTTACAGAAGACAAGAGGAAAAGGCCTCTAGTTGCTCCAGGGGAGGGTTAGGTTGGACAGTAGGAAAAATTTCTTCACCCAAAAGGGTTGTCAAGCATTGGAACAGGCTGCCCAGGAAAGTAAGTGGTAGAGTCGTGATACCTGGAGGTATTTAAAAGACACATAGATGTGGTGCTCAGTGACATGGTTTAAGGGTGGACTTGGCAGTGTTAGGTTAATGGTTGGACTCAGTCATCTTAAAGGACTTTTCCAATCTAAACTATTCTGTGACATTTGGCCTTGAGCTGAACTTATGTAAATTCTGTTTATACATTATAAATAGTTCCATATAAAATGTGGAATTTTATGAATTACAGCCTCAGCTCTTTCCCAATTCCCTTGGTTCACCAGAAGTATGAAAGTGAAATTCAAAAGAAATAATGTCTCAGCAAAGCAAGATTAATCTATGCAAGTGTACATATGGCACACAGCTTTTAAGAACTAGTCATGTAATCTTTCTTGGTGACAAAACATATTGCAATGAGTTCACTGGCTATATTGATAGTGACCTTTTTTAATTTGTTTATATTTTTCTCACGTATGCACTTATAGCCATAGTTGAGGAGGGAAGCTATGGGAGAGTTCAAAAGGAACTATCTCTAACGAGAAGTGAAAGTTGGGCTAGATCTAGGTTTCTTCCAGGATGAACACCAGAAGAAATTGCGGTTCTGCAACACCAGGCTCTGAATTTTACACCAATGTGTATTATCTGCTATTTTAGACGGAGCTCAAGGGAAATGGAAATATAAAGAAGAGACTACCTTCAATTGTGGAAGACGAAGATGAGGATGAGGAGGGAGAAGAAGAAAGCAGCATCCTTTCACCAATTCGTACAAGAAGCACAAATTGTTCTCAGCAGAAAAAGGCTGGAAGCAATAAAAGCCACCTAGGGAGAAACCTGAAGCAGTTGGCCTCCGGAACAGTGCCCTTTCATTCACCCATCCGTGCTTGTAGTTCAAACCCCTCAAGAACCAAACACGAAACAGAGCTCCATTACTACTCCAAGAGGAGGGAGAAAAACCTTAAATTACACCTTTCAGCACTGACTACCAGTGGTCCACCTGACCTGAGTCCAAGGTAGTAGTTATGAACAATTATTTTCTTCTCTATAACTCCTATTAAAAAATATCATGGCTGTAATACTCTAAAATATTTTGTTTTCTTTAATGGTTGATACTTCTGTTCATCCCACAGAGAAAGAAAAGTCCTCTTATAGTAGAAACTATTACATATTTTGCAGAATGTTATGACTTTGGGACTTTATTGTGAAATAAAGTATTTCTACCAATACAATGGGAAAGTAATGAACAATTATGAAAATTACTATTTAAATAGTCTGGCTTTATGGTATCATTTTGTCCATCTATAATAATATGTATTCCCACAATAGTACTGTGAAACATTTGGAGTCCATCAGAAAGACAGCAATTTAGAAAGCAAGTAGATGATAATACAGCATAGCTGTGCAAACAGAAAAATTACTGGGGTAAAGAACTACAATGGAAAACTCTTGTCTAGCAATATTAGAAAATATTTAGAGCTTTTTTATATTAGAGAAAGGAAACCTGATAATACAAGTTATGTAGAGACTAAATATAGAGTTGAGAAAATCTGTTTTGCTTTGACTTTCGACATAAATAAGAGTTATATAATAGTTTATTGGAGTATTATTACCATATAATTTTAAATATGTTTCTACTTGCACGCTACCTGTAAGGTGATTTATGTATCTTATTTCTAAATTTCTGCAACTTAATATTTATTATTAACCAAGGTTTTTGGGATCAGTTCTTTACAGAAGTCACAATCATTTTTTCACATATGAGAAGCTGCAGCAGTTGATCTTCCAGTTCAGGTTTTGTTTCTGTAATTTGAAGTACTTTATATGTTCAAGAACTTTCTTTATTCGCTGGAGGCAAAGTGGCAGTTTCAGAAGCTTGCCATTGCAAATATGGAATGGCCACAACATGACCAATATTTATTTAGCTCTGTCAAGGAACCTATCCCTAAGGATGAAATCATAAAAAGGACATGGAAGACTATATAGAAATAATCTTTTGCCCTCATATATTTGATCAGTACAGTTCTATTTCAAATAGGAACAGGATGCAAACTGGGTTTTGTCAATACAGGGGAAGATAATGTGTGAACAAGCAGCTTATTCATGAGAAAAATTGAAATGCATAGTGGATATGTTCTCATTTCTTTCATAGATCCTGTATGAATTTGGTTCAGGTCAGCTGTGAGTAAAGGTTATACTCATTTACATACAAGTGGTAGTTCAGGGGAAAGCTGTCTTTCATGTTTCTGCTGAAATGCAGTCTTTCTCATTATTATTCTGAACATATGCAACCAGACATTGGCACCCAAACACAAAAGCAATTGTGAAACTAGTATTATTAGATATATTACTATGTCTTATTTCCGTTCATAATTTTATACTGCAGAATAATCCTTTTTATAGGCTGGAAAACTGGGCCAAGATCTATGTATTTTTCAGACTGTTTTCTAGTGAAAACACTTTCATATTATTTCCCAGGATGAGTTTATATCAGAACATGTAAACTTACAAGTTAAAATGACTTTAAAAGGAGTCTTCAATGTTTCTTAGTAAGTACTAAAAAGAAAATAAGACTTTAATTAAGATCCTCACTTTTGTTTGCTGTTGGACAGCAGTGTAAGAGTAAAGCAATACTCTAGTTGAAACTAGTCAGTGCAGTTGTGAGGTGTATAACCACATTTTGTCAAGAGAACATACTTTGTCTAAAAAATTCATTCTACCATGGATGTTCCCTGGAATAAGCCAACCAAAGCTCTTCGCTGGTACTTCAAGGTCTCATCTTGTACACCACAGTGAAGGCAATAAAGCACAGAGACTGGGTAAAATATTTAAATAGTTCTTGGCACAAAAAATAGAAGCTAGCATCCTGACATCTAGGTTACAACTGTACTCTTCTTAATCACTTTTTGGGTACTGACTATGAAGTAGATGAGCAACAAAAGTAAGAAAGAGTGAATGATAATAAAGGCAGTCCTGGGAGGAGGCATTTATGCACTTGAACCTCCTCAGATGCACATGGACAAGTGCCCTGATTGACTGGACAGAAGTTACATGCTAATCTTTCCTGACTTTTTGACTTTTTGGCCTTGAGGAGTGGAGGTGTCTGTCTTCAGAAGAAAATTCAAGGCCATACAGTAGTTAGTTCAGAATGAGGTGAGACTTACCAATTACTTTTGTCCCCTCATGTTTTAAACTCACTAGATTATGTTGTTCTACAACCAGTTCATTGAATATGAATTATAGGCATCTTGCCTATTACATATTTCCCACATAGAAGCCTCTCTTTTGTCTCTCCAGAGATAGCTATTCTTGGTAATATAAAATTTTTTTTCGTCAGAATCTTTAAACACTTTAAAGAATATAACATCTATAAATTTCAAGTCATGTCTGAGCAGGTTTCCCCCTGTGTGCTTTAAAGGCAGTTAAAATGTTAGCATTTTGTATAATTAGAAATCCTTACAAAAGGGATATTAGTGTTTAAAATTTGCTTTTGGAAGCAGTGAGGCCAGATGACATTAAATAGGTTTTACAGCAAATTTCAAACAAAGCAATCATTTGGATTTTCAGCTGCACATAATAGTATAGGCCCAAGCAGCTCAAGCACCATATTTCAGTCTCATCTCCTCCCAGAGGCTGGTTAAGATTACAGTGAAGTCTAGTAACATTCAGCTGGCATCTTAAACAGTCACACATGACACAGAGCGCTAAACCCACTTGAGGAGTTAAGAAGGACAAGAATACATGGTATTTGCACAGAGGTCTAAGTTACAAGCCACATACATCAAATCATAGAATCACAGGATGGTAGGTGTTGGAAGTGACCTCTGGAGATCATCTAGTCCAACCACCCTCTTGACACCTGACCTTTAGCTATTTATGAGCATTGATAAGATCCCCTCTCAGTCTTCTCCAGGCTAAACAGACACAGATCTCCCCCAGAGAGATGTTTCAGTCCTCCTATATATCTTCATAGTCCTCCACTGGACTCTTTCCAGTAGTTACCTGTCTCCTTTCAACTGGGGAGCCCAAAACTGGACACAGTACTCCACATGTGGCCTCAGCAGGCAGAGCAGAGCAGGAAAAGAACCTCCTTTGACCTGTTGGTCACACTCCTCTTAACAGACCATTTGCCTTCTTGACACAAGGGCACATTACTGTCTTATGGTGAACTTGTTGTCTAACAGGACTCCAAAGTCCTCTCTGTGGAGTTCCTTTTCAGAAGGTCAACCCCTAATCTGTAAGTTAGATCACAGATATCTCTGTGTAGTCTCTTCTTGTTTCACCAAGCATTTCCAGTCAAGAGGTTTGCTTGAGAACATCCATATTAGATGCAAAGTCTAATTTCCCTCATCACAAAGTTGTCATCATTGACTGAGTGGTCAAGAACTCTCTGCTTTAGCCCTTCAAGTTTAGTATTTAACTCATCTGCCTACTATAAGACAAATCCTGAATCTTGTGCCTGGACAAAACAAGAAACCGATGCGCCACATCTGTCTACTGGCAGTTTTCTGAGTCACTTCCAGTCCTCTTTATAGCACAATTTATAATAAACAAAACCAAAAAATATTCATAATAATACATTTTTAATAATGTGCATTGATTCCTCTGTCTGATACCAGTTTTCTATTCTTTGTATGTACTTGATTATTGTATAAAATGCTTAATTTTTTCTCCTTTGGATTTCTTGACATCGTAAATTTGAGGTCAACAACAATGCATAACTAGAAATAGCTGTCAAAAATGCCTTTTCTAGTAGTTGTAACTAGTACTAATAGTAATGTAACTGGGATATTGAAGCCTGGTCTACACATCTTCCTATACCAAATTTGCAGACAAGTTTGTTTGGCCTGAGCTACTTACTTTATACCAAACTTGAGAATAGCTATTTGCATGGCAAATGCGCTTTTGACTGTGGTTTACAAAGATGCTTTCATAAATACTTTACATTCAGGCTTTTGCTCTGCCCAAGTAAGCCTAATATAAGAGCCTGGCTGTTATGTGTAGAGAGAGTTAAACTTCACAAAAACATAGTAAATCATCTTTAGTTTGTGTAGAGGAAAGAATAGCAACAGATATGAAAAGTAAACTACATACAATCTGGGTTTTGTTAGGACACAGAACTCGTGAGCATTTTGAAACATCAGTTAATTATGTTTAGCTTCACATTCTTACCTCTAACAGGAAGTTTAGTCTTTAGTGACTCACAAGTTATACCAATATAATAGTTTCTACTTTCCTTTAAACTTAATGTTGTGCAAAATTTGCAATTGCTTAAAAATGTGCCATTTAGGAGTAATTTTGACAACATAATCATGAATGTGATCTTTATGAAACTGTTTATGAAATTGCGTCATCACTCCAATTTTTCTCTACAGAATTGTTGATGGGATTGAAGATGGAAACCATAATGAGGAAAGCCAAACCTTTGACTTCAGCTCTGATCAGCTCAGGCAGGAATCCAGGTTATCTCCTACAATTGGAGGTGAGTTTTGCCTTGGAAAATCACTCTTTAGGGAAAACAGTTTTTTGTTTCCCTTTGTTTCTTTGACTCTCAGAAGTGGCATAAATGGATTTAACATATATCAGCACTTTCAGTACTATTTCAGTACCACAACTGGTAGTGCAGAAAAATACAACAGCATACTGAAGGCCATATGTTGTTTTTATGAAAGCAGACAGTTATGATAAAACAGCTTGAAAGAGTACTATATTTTAGGATCAGCCAGGAGCTGCATGCTTCCAAGCTTTTGGACATGGAAGCTACTAAACACAAGGACAGAATTCAGCATAAAAACTTTCCAATACCAACTAAAAAAAACCATACCAATCGTGAAGAGACGTGTGGAAATGTGGCTCTGAATTTTTGTTAAAGATGGTTTACAGAAGTGGAGGAGTATGAAAGTACCTAGATTTTTAAAAGTAAAAGAGTGAAAACTTTGTATAGCAAGAGGTTTTAGGAAGCTTTAAATGACCTACAGTCTGTAAAGGCTGGTAAAATAGTACCACAGAAGAACAGAGCACATCAACATGTGAAAAAAAAAAGCAAGAGAAAGAAGGAGACAGAGGGAGTGACCAGTGGGCTAATGCTGAAGTGGCACAACTAGTGCAGCTCAACCTGCTTCCAACATCCTCTCTTTTACAAGTAAGCAGTCCTTACATAGTTAGGTACATTTTACATTGAGGTTATTAAGGCACATTTTGTCCTTCTTAAAGCAAAATGGGAAAATAATAATAGAAGCTTAATTGTATCTATGATTTTAAAAACAATTAACTTATCACACGGTTGGCACCACACTTGTCATTTTCAGTTCTTTCAAACTCAGACTGAAGAGAGCTGTATCAATTTCATTCATAACACTTTTCTTATACATTATATTGAACGTTAAACACAAGGTTTGCTTTTCATTCATTCCAAATGCAAACTAGGTTTAAATTTAAAGCACTGGTTAAGTCCAAAAATAGCACTGCTATTTCGAAGTTATACTTCTCTTATTTACATGCATTTCAATTATTTTCAGAGTCCGAAATTGGTGCTGCTGTGCTTGTTATCAAAGCAGAAGAGACCAAACAGCAGATCAGCAAGCTTAATAATGAGGTAACGTGTTTTGGGGTGTGTTGAAGGATATTAACAATGATTTAAGGAATGCTGGAGAAAACTCATGAAACTTGGAAATATGATAAATGCATGTTAAACAAGTTTGCAAAACTGGATGTGGTTCCTACATTTAGGCAGTGTGGGTCTTTTAACTCTTTCCCAGATTAATTTTCCACATGAAAGCTATATAAAATTTGTGTCACATGCTAGAGTAAAAACAAAGTGAGGTTAGCGTAGTGTCTAATTTTCTTAGAATTTATCCTCTTCTAGATGTGCTTATATCTCTTTCTTTCCTCTTATTCTTTCCTTAAGCCCTTTCTTCCAATTATTCATATTTTTGTGTACACTTAATCTAGTTATTATTTATTTCCATATGTTACATATTGGTCTTGTAAGCACCTTTCATCCTGGGACAGGTTAACTGGGTCAGATAACACACCTGTCCTCAGCTAGAAGTGCATGCATGAATGCATGACCTCATTTGTATGTCAAACTGTAGGGTTCAAACAAAAGTCTCATGCCCCATTGACTAGAATTTTTTTATAAAACTTGGTCAAAGAACTCAAAAATATCTCCAGATGTTCACTGACAGCATTATTATGATATAAAATCATAGAATGGTTTGCATTGGAAGTGACATTAAAAATCATTTAGTTCCAACACCCCTGCCACGGGCAGGGACACCTCCCACTAGACCAGGTTGCGCAAGGCCCCATCCAACCTGGTCTTGAACACCTCCAGTGGTGGAGCAACCACAACTTCCCTGGGAAACCTGTTCCAGTGTCTCACCATCCTCATACTGAACTTCTTCCTTATATCCATTCTAAATCTACTCTCTTCCAGTTTGAACCCATTATCCCTCATCCTATCACTACAAGCTGTTGTAGAAAGCTCCTCCCCAGCTTTTTTGTAGGCCCCCTTCAGATACTGGAGGCTGCAAGAAGGTCTCCCCAGAGCCTTCTCTTCTCTAGGCTGAACAACACCAACTCTTTCAGCCTGTCCTCATAGGAGAGGTGTTCTGGCCCCCTGATGATCTTTGTGGCCTATTGTATTTCCTGTATGATACTTTTAAAACAGACAACTCATAGTGATTCATCCCTTTTGACTTTGAAGAGGAAAGGTATTTTTAAAATATGAAGATGTATTACGTGGTTATCTGCAAGAGGCAATTGGAAAATACATCATGGTGGCAGAGATGCTAAGGCAGGCATCTTGTGGATTAACCAAATATTTCAACCACAGTAGTTCTGGGCTTGTCATTGGTTTTCTGGTGAAAAGGTGTAAATAAATCTTGGATTAGGGCAATATATTAAAGAGAAAAAAAAAAAAAAAAAAAAAAAAAAAAAAAAAACACCAAACAACCCACTACATAATGAAGGTGATTTCTCTCCATGCACAATCTTTTCTCCCTGATAACAGTAACAAAATTTTATGCAACTTGCTTGCTCACACTAACATAAAAAAGGAAATATGACTATATGCAGTAAAACAGTAAGTCTTCCTCAGAGGGAAAAGGGAAACAGACTCCAAAATCTGGAGAGAAACCTTTCACTGTTCTGAATATGGTTCACTCTTTTATTTTCAAATCGAGGTGGGGGAAACAGTCCATTTTTTCACACAGTATGCTAGCTATGAGACTTCACTTAAAATAAGAGGTGCTTATTTCCCAAGACTTCTGCAATCTTTCCTGGAATAGAGATGGATTTGAAACACTAATTCTTGATTTTAAAAGTCAGCCTCTAGGTTATCAGAAAAAAAAAAGAAGTCATCACCTGTCCTTCTCTTCTTTCCACAGGAGTGTGACAGAAGTGAGTTTGTCTATAGTCTCTTACAATTTAGCAGGTATTAGGAGTCCTGTAACTAAGAGGAAAAGAATCTCTGAAGGTATAAAAAGAGCAGCACTAACTTCCAGAGTCTTGCTAGCTTGATGTGTGAGACAGAATTTGTTTTCACACTGCATAATTGACTGAGGCCTGCACCAAAACAACATGTAAAGTGCTAACGCTGAAAGACAAACAAGATTTTTGGTAGGTTTAGACATCTTTTGTCAACTCTTGAATTGATTTGATTTACATCTAGCCTGGTTAGTGATAAAAAGGCAATAATAACGCAACCAGAAAATACAAAAAATAACAAAAAAAAAAAAAAAACCCACACAATTTATTTACTGTTTAGTAACAGCAGAGAAAGATACATTTCTCTGATTACAGAACCTCATACAGCTTATAGAAGAGTATAGAAATATATGAGGCTACTTTACTGATTATAGAAAATCTTACACTCTGTAAAACACACTAGGAGCATTTATATTCAGCTTTGCGGTATCTCTAAGATTAACTTACTGCGTGCTGTATAAAGTACATTACATAGAGTATATCTGCACTAGTGTAGACATATTTAAGGTGAAAATTATTGGTGGACTTGAAAGGAGTATTCTCTACTTTCACAGCTCATATTTTGTTACCTGTTTAAGAAGGCCCCTTGCAAAGAAAAGAGCATTCTGGCCAAGCAAGAGTCTTAAACGTAAAAACATTTATATACAGGGGAATTCTGAATTCAACATGACAACACATGGGCATAAAATATGGGCAAATATTAGATAGGGACATTAAAAAAAAGAAAATAAAAGGCAGCATGAGGAACAATTCTAAACTGATGTAGATTTAGATTCCATAGGTAACATTCTGGGCTCCAATCCCATAGACAGATGGGTATTCCCCAAGTCCTACCATGGATCGAAATTTACGTTGAAAAACCTGCATGACTATAAGGCTGCTTAGTTGCATATTCTACATGTATTCAAACATGCCCCATTTGGAGTATCTGGACATAACTGATTTGGTAGTTACTCAAATGAGCATATAAGTAGTCCTGCTGGAATATATTAGCTGGGTTTTGGGTTTTTGTTGCAATATTAATTATTAAAAAACACTTGTGGATCCTGTGTTTTCATCATTCCATCACTTGATGATGACCATTAATGGAAGCTTATGAAGTAGTTAAAGATATCAGCAGAGTTAGAAATAAACTTCTTTGTTAAGACATGCGGCCTCCTCCTGAAAAAGAAAATATGAGAAAACAGGTCACAAGTAGCCAACAGCAGCAAACACCATCATTAATACATTTTCCAGTGGAGAGCAGAAGTCAACCAACAAACTCAAAAATAACTGCTTTCATGAAAGGCAATTGTATTACAACAGTTCACTAGTTAGTTTAAAAACATTTCAGCTTTTATTGGGGGAACAAAGACATGCATCTTTCCTTTCAGACATTCAATACAGTCTGTTGTTAGCAATGAAAAGCAAAGTGAAAAAGAGCTATCCCAGAGATAAATCTACAAAACAAGCTATACCTCACTTAGATATTTAGTGGAGCTCTGGGTGGTGTTTTAGGCATATGCCATTCACTACATAATCCAAAGGAAAGTTCATTTACCTAAGAATGAGACTAACAGAAGACAGAGCCTTGATTTCAATTCTCAGATATTGTTACATATTAACTAATAGATGCACAGGCTTCCCTAAGGTGGGTAGGCTCCAAAGTCAGCATGTGCACTGGAATAGGCAATATGAGAGAAACTTGAACACACCCGAGATTCCTACTGTATAGCTCTGTGGTTTGGTTGCACAGATGCTTATCCTTTTTTTTTGGTTTGTTTTTTTTTTTTTCATTCCTTTATGAAACTTCACTTCACATTTTGAGTCTTAATGAGATCCAAGCTGATTAGAAAGAGTTTCCCTCTTGTTCACTATTGTTAGGTGGAGTGGAATAGGATTACTTAATCTCTTACTCTATTTGCCCATTCCATTTAGTCTAAATAATCACTGAATTAAAAAAAGACATGACTTTCATTATACTGTATGGCAGGCAAGAGGGTTACAGTTCAGGTTCTTGCTCTTGTAAAAAATGCAACTATTTAAGCAACAGTTTTGAGATAAAGTGACTAAATACCCAACAGCATAGGACACTTTCTGAGTTGGAGAAAGCTTAATAAAAAGACCTGTTCCAAAATAGACAGAGCAAGAATTTAGGAATACTTCCTTTGCAGAGGCCTATACACGCAACCTGGTCTTTTCAATGCATTTGTCTGCAAAGACCAATCAGATGAATGTATCTAAATATTTAACATTTTTTTCCAGAGGCACCATTTCCCTGGTGCAATAATCCATAACTACTAAGGAGCCCAGAAGTAAAAATAGGAAAGCACTAAGCAGATTTTCTAAGATATACATATGGCCATAAGTCTAGATTAACGTACCTTCCTATCACTGTCCTGTTGTCTCCATTTTACTAGGCTTTTAGCTGTCTCTAATTTGAATGCAACTGTATAAAAAAAGACCGTGGAAATATAATCATGAAATCTTTCTTCTTGGAAGACACTTTTAAGATCTTCAAATCCAACTGTTAACCCAGCACTGCTAGGTCACTGCTAAACCATGTCCCTCAGCACCACATCTACACATCTTTTAAATACATCCAGTACATACTCAACCACTTCCCCGGGCAGCCTGTTTCAGTGCTCTATAATCCTTTCAGTGACAATTTTCATAGAATCATAGAATCATTTAGGTTGGAAGGGACCTCCAAGATCATCAAGTCCAACCATTGAGCCATTAGGGCTCTAAAGTCCTCTGCTAAAACAGATCAGAATCTGTCAGGGTTGGAAGGGACCACAAGGATCCCCCAGTTCCAACCCCTCTGCCATGAGCAGGGACACCTCCCACTAGATCAGGCTGCCCAGAGCCTCATCCAGCCTGGCCTTAAAGACCCCCAGGGATGGGGCCTCAACCACCTCCCTGGGCAACCCATTCCAGGGTCTCACCACTCTCATGGTGAAGAACTTCTTCCTCACATCCAGCCTGAATCTGCCCACTTCCAGCTTTGCCCCATTCCCTCTAGTTCTGTTGTTACTCGATATCCTAAAAAGTCCCTCCCCAGCTTTCTTGTAGGCCCCCCTAAGATACTGGAAGGCCACAATAAGGTCACCTCAGAGCCTTCTC